TAAAGGACCCGGGACATTTGGGCAACAGCCTCGAACCCGTGAATCACTTCAAGACTTCAAGACTTCAAGACCTGACCCGAAGTGGTTTGAATCGGTGATACTTTACCCCGCTGAATTGAAAAGTTTTCCAGTTTGTTGCAATCAACATGTTTAGGTCAAATTGTTTGCTTTGTTTTCCCTTTTACTTCTTGGATTTAACGAATTCTTCTATTTTCGTTTCTTTTATGAAATATTTGATAGTTTTCTGTCTCTTCCACGTGAAATCAATAGTTGGATGCTCGATTTTCTTTGGTTTATTTCTCAGTTGAGATGGAGTATTCCAGCCTCATTTACTTTCTCCCTTGAGTCTATTACTTCACCTGAGTATCATTTTTGTTAGTGTTGACTACGTCACAGCTTTTGTATGGGAGTGGTTTCCATGCCTTCCTAAAAGCGTAATTTGCATTTGATCTTCGTTGTCGCTGAGTTGGTAATGTTGTGTTTTAATACCTTGGCATTTATTGAAATTTTCAGAATCACTATGTTAATCTATTTGGAGGTCTCTCAAACTGTTTTTGATGTTCAAAGGCAGTGTGAATCCTAGTAGATTGCGCATTAAAGTAGCTGGCGAAGAGGTCCTCGAGAAACAACTGCCAGGACAGCCGTACACGTTTGCGGATCACAAAGATTGTAATAAAAGGTAAGTTCTTGAAATTGATATTGACCTAAAATATGGTGTTAGATCTAAGATGGCAGAAGATACTTCGAAAGATCAGCATGCGTCTTACGGCTCGGCTCCGTTTTCCGCTCCTGTGAATTCACTGGTCTTCAGTGAACCCGTTTGTATATTTTGTGGTATGGGAAGCAAAGTCAAATTTGGTCAAGGTGATCTCGCACGTTTTCACACTCTGGAAGAAGTATCTGATCCACCGGCGTGGTTTAATGATCTCAGAAAGTCTTTGCTCGAGAAACAGGAACGAGCTCAAATAAATTTTCAAGGTACTCGACCGCTGCATGGTTCCCGACGAGGCCATCACGGTATCACACAAATTGCTTCCTGGTCTCCGTTACTTACGGATGGCTCCAATCTATTTGTTGGTCCGCATTTGTCGCTTGATGGTGCGCGACGAATTAAAGAACAAAAGAGTTTGAGGTAACAACCATCATGTTATTTAACACCATGTAGTTTGGACGGAAAGCCCTGCCTGCCTGGGATACCCAATGCATTTTTTGATTGTGAAGGACGTCCTTTTGGTTTAATTGAGGAACTTACGTATATTGGTTGGCCAACACCTCCACACAGTGAACCATCGCTGTCTATAAGTCATCTTATTTTCAAGTGTACACCTCGGGAGGGTGGTGAAGGAAGTTGGATTTATGCGCACCATTGCTGTGCTTCCTGGTCCAATGGAGTTCATTTTAATGAAGAAGTGAGTTTTGTATTTTTTCTCCTTACAATAACTATCTCCAGAAATGGTCAAGTATTTGCACTAGTTCTTTTATACTTTTGGATCATTCTGTGATCCTTTGTTCATCCTTGTTATGTTTAGTTATGTTGAATCTGCGCCCCACTGCGATGAAGGCTAGACTTTTGAGTCAAAGGCTCCGTTTAAGGTTCCCGAAGAAAAACCCGTTCGTCTGTGTGGGTTACCGCGAAGTATGTCGTGCCATAAAGTCTTAGGCACCCATTTATAAAAAACCTCATTATCATTTGTCTAGTTCGTCCTCTCGGTCCAGAATAATCCCAGATGCTTTCTGTTTACGCCACCCATCAGATATCACTCATCGTTCTACCAGTAAGACCAAAAGTCAGAAGTTAAAGTTCCTGAAGCGAAGATTCCCTTTTCACTTAGCCGCGTTCAACGTCCGCCCACTATCCGATCGGTCAACAAGCTACCTTAGCTAGAACTCTTGAAACTGTATGCTGTGTCTCCGAAACACGCTTATAAAAGCCTACCTCAATCCTCTCCATGCGTTCTCCTGACGCAACCTCACGTTTCACTCTCCGTGTCAGACGATTCGACATCCAATGCTCACGGCGTTGCTGGTGTTAGGATTGCTCTAAGTGCCGAGACTGAGCGCTGGCTTCTTGACTGGATTCCAGTCAGTAGCCGACAATTTTGTGACACCTTGGTGTGTTAAACAGCAGGTGGGGTTAACCTCATTGTCACGAAGACTGCGCTGTACATCTCAACGGTTCAGCACAGATCAACAGCTAATGAACGAAGCGTCGATAGCTATTCGTCGTACTGGTTTATTCACCGACCGATTACAGTTTGTCAGAAATGAAGGATGAATTCTACAAGGGCCTCTTTCAACTGCTCCAAAGTGTTCGGTCAACCGACATCGCGGTAGTCGCTGAAGATTTCAGTGCTCAAGCGGGATCCTTGGACGAATCAAAAATGCTTTTGCCGGTCCACATGCAATCACACCCAAGCCGAAATCCGGGGCTATAACCGGGTTTTTGGACCACCGGTAGTTCACCTGGGGGAGTTGAACAAAAACCCTGATTCCACACC